AGAATGTGAATTTAACCATTTCTGATTTGAAGATTCTTCTTCCATTTGGTTATCAGTTTCTCACTATGATATTTTTTCAGGACTGCAATAAACATGAAAACTCCATTCTGGATGTTTAAGCACTGACCACACTCCAGCCTCACACTCTCCTCTCTGTTCTTCCCCACCCCAGCAGGTAGGAATTCTCACCCAGCCCTGCCTCCTGACCATAATAAAAGCTAAAACGAACCAAACTGCCTCGCTGTTGCCACTTTGGGCTGACGTGCACCTGCTCTGTTCTCACCAGAAAATCCCACGACGTGAGTCATCAATGTTGTCACGTCTTTCCAGTGTGTGTGGCAGCATCTGTCCCAACATCCAAACCAATTTGGGGGGTTGGGGGTTGAGTCCACCTTCTGCAGGGCAACCACTCACTGTGCAAGAACACCAGAACAAAGTTTTTAAGATCACAGCAAGAGGTATTAACCAAATGATGCACTTTTCAAAAAACGATTCCGTTCATATTGATTAGGGGAGAAGCGGAAGTGTTTGAACAGAGCCCTCGAATCGGAGTGGCTGAACTGCTTCTCTGGGCTGCTGGGTGACTGCTTCAGGAAGTCGTTCAGTGACCCACTGGTGGGTTAGCCCTACCTTCACTCTCTGGGTCCAAAGGAGCCAGACTCATTGCTGCATCTCCCTGCTGGAGAGGAAGGGGAGTGCAATTTACTTTTAAGGCTGTGAGGCATATCACTTCTGCCCACGCTCCACTGCTAAGTCACATCTGGCTAAGGGTTGCTGGTAAATGCAGTCTCTAGATGTCCAGATGAGTGACCCGGTACCCAGGTAAAACCTCTTGGGGGAGGGGCAAGGGGAGGGAGAGAAAGAAGGGAGAAAGGAGGGAGGAGGGGGGAGGGAGGAAAGAGAGAAAAGAGAGAGGGACGGGGGAGGGGCGGGGGAGAGAGACAATTTGAGAACGGATGAATGAATTGTGGAAGCCAATTGGAGTCTACCAGCCATACCTTCCATTCAGGGATTTTCCCCCTCCCTAACCGAAGCCAGGAGAATTAACAGGGAATATTTAACATCAGTTGTCCAACGGACTAACGATAGCAGACAACATCTAACTCCCAGAACCCAATCACAATACATAGTTAGCAATATTACTGTGAAAATTTCTTACTTTGAGCAGCAAATATTTTCTTTTAAAATTTTATACAAGAGTAAATATTCATTCATATATGCACTTCCTGGGTCTGAAAATATTTTGCTCCTCCATTTTGAACTCCAACTTGAGATTTCAAAAATATATCTCAAGAGGAAATGTTTAGGAGGACAGGCTGATCAGTGAAAGGGCCTTGGCAACATCTAAGCAGAGAGCCATCATAAAAGAAGGATTGATGTTACTACCAACACACAAGGCTGTGCCTGTCCATCTCACAGTGGACCCTATGGAGAAGGGATGAAACTGATTTGATTCGAGACAAGACAGGAGAGGTGAAGGTTTGAGGGTGGGGCGGGAGGTGGGTAGAGGTGAAACAAGACTGGCATGGAGATAATTATTGATAAAAAGCTGCATGATGGAGATAGAGGCTTCCTCATACAATTTCGTTTAGATTTGTTGTTTAAAAATTTCCATAAGAAGTTACTGTTTTGCTTGTTTGCTTTGAAGAATGAACCACACACACTCATGCCAGCCTCAGTACTGTCTCTAGGGAACAGGCCTGTTCCCAGTCATGTGAGAAAACACCACTTGTGAAAACCATTAAAATGGTGCCTGACTTTATAATCTTGTGAAAAATGAAGTGAGAAAAGAGTCGGGTGAGATTTCTGATAACAGAACCAATGATGAGTAAAGTCTGTTCATGTGTTTCACCTATCACTGGTCTGGTTTGGTAAAACAAAAGACACAGGGATATGCTGGGAAGGATGAAGGTTTTCAGTTAGATAACCGGGTTTGTAAGGGCACAGTTTTGGCACACACTTTTCTACAGTTAAAAAAAATGCTGCTCTTAAAAAAAGGCTCAAGTCAGACATGACAGTTTTTATCAAAATCAATGTTTGCCAAGAAATCCAAAGGTCCATTTGAGTTCGGTCAGTAGCTGCTGGCATAAGGTCTATTTCTACCTTAGACAGGATGGAATCCATTCATAATATTTATATCAGACTAGATAGTTGACTTAAGTTTTCTTGCATAAATTCTCACTTTACCTTACTTTTAGAAATTCTGGCCTACGAAGTTCCAGCTTCAGTGAGAGATTATCCCAGGGACTGGAAGAAACAGCACCACCATCTTTATAGCCCAAGACTTTGTGTGCTCTGCACAGAATTATTTTTTTTTTTTTTTTTTTTTTTGCGGTACGCGGGCCTCTCACTGCTGCGGACCCTCCCGCTGCGGAGCACAAGCTCCGGACGCGCAAGCTCAGCGGCCATGGCTCAGCGGCCATGGCTCACGGGCCCAGCCGCTCCCCGGCACGTGGGATCCTCCCGGACCGGGGCACGAACCCGCATCCCCTGCATCAGCAGGCAGACTCCCAACCACTGCGCCACCAGGGAAGCCCCTGCACAGAATTATTTTAAAGGCTCTCCATGAAGCATGATCACAAGGTTTTTGAAACAATGGTTTGATAGGTGCTAACTTTGGTAACAAGTTAAAAAATAATAACCAAATAGAAGGGTACACTCCTCAGTAAAAATAATAACGATGGAGAGAGGTAACAAATGACAAAGTTCTGTGTTTCTTTGGATCGTAGTGAGTCAGTAGGTACAGTTCTAAGTTTTCTACACAAGCTTCACATTGGTTCTCTTGGCTGTGTACATGCAGTCTAAGTTTTTAGGTAGCGATTTAAAATATTAAGTTGATATATATAAAAGCAAAATTTTATAAAAGTTATAAGTCTTTTAACCTGGGGGGAAACGGACGATGGACCCAATCAAATTTTCACCACTTATGAAAAAGGACATGTTGAACGTTATAGAAAAAGAGCATTGAGCAAAACTACCCATAATTCCACTTAAAGTCTATTTTTCTTATCCAACAAACTGCCTAAGGAATGTTTCTTGAACCCAAACTAAACTGAACCAAAATTAATCCTTCTAGGACCAAGTATGGTACTTAGTACAGCAAAATCCCATACACTTATGGGACACGTTACTCCAGAGGTAAAGTTACACATAATGTGCATTTGTAAGCCCTGGATGAATAAATAATTACAAAATGGACAATTTTTTTTTGCAACTGTTAGTGGGTTAGCACAGCCACTTTAGTCAGTTAAACACATTCCAGAAGTTGTTTATTTGCAACGTTGAATCCATTTACAACACTTGGTGGGTTTTTCAAGGCCAGGCTACACTGGCATCGCTGTACGGCCAGCACCTAGCACCCTGCCTAACCACCCATGATCGACACCCTGTTACTATTTGCTGAATCAAGACAGTGAAGTCCTGTGAGTCCATTCCTGATCACAGTCAGTTTTGCATGTCATAATTTTCCTTCATGCTCCAAAACCTCACTGATTTAACACATTATTTTTATACTACCTTAAAATTCATGCAAACAGAACCTTCCAGTACATAAGATGAAAACTTACACACTGTTAGTGCTATATTACCGACTTCGGAGTCTTTACCCATTTTAGAACGTGGGCTATATAGAAATCCGCTTGTAATACCAACTGACAGCTGTGACAAAAATAAGCATATGATATTAAAAATAAATCAAATGATATATAGTACCATCATTATTCTGATACAGAATTTTTACACAGCAATATTGATACAGGTACAAATGACGGGATGTCAGGCAATCCATTACAACAGACCTTTGGGTTACAAATAAAGTTTAAATGACAACTTAATACCGATTTAAAAATGATAACTAGTGTTAAGCCAGATTAAAATCAATACTTCCTCTTCGAGTGACATTTTCTAGAACATCTCTAACTAGGAGACTTTCGTTAAAAAAAAAAAAGCAACTTTATAAAAAGGAAAAGAAATAAATGTAATATTATACTGGAAAAGTCTTTTAAAAAAATCCCAAATCTAGGAATCTGGACTAAATTAATTTGACTTCCATTCTTTTTGTCCTCATACTAGTCAAACTGCAGACCTGAAACCCACTTGCATAAGCAGGTTCAGTTAAAGTTCAGAAGCACCCCTGCCTCCACTCCATATAAGAGAAGTTTGGGGGGTCTAGTTCAACTACACATTCTTTTCGCTGTTTAAGTATCAGGCAAAAAGCTTGATTCTCATCAGTGATTCTGCCAGGAAGCTCAAGGATGTGGATCCCCACTTTAAAATGCTTAGAGGCTCAGAGGGAAATGCCAAACAATAAAATGAGAGTCTTAAAACTCACTGAGGAGTGAGGGAAAGAGACCAAGGTGTGTGTGTGTATGTGTGTGTGTGTGCGCGCGCGTGTGCGTGCATGTGTGTGCACACAGTGGGGCAGGGGGTGTTTTAAGAAAAAGAAAGTTTCTGTACCAAAATATCAAATTCCTATTCTCCACACTTCTGTGAAAATGGACAAGTTATTGGCATTAAAAAAAGCCACACCAAAACACAAACAGGGAAATGAATGAGAACTGGCTCCATAATGCCTTGCACTTTACATTTCTATTCAAAACATAAATCCGCTTTCGATTAAAAAAAAAAAGAAAAGTAACACATCAATTAAAAATCAAAGAGGAGGGCTTCCCTGGTGGCGCAGTGGTTGAGAGTCCGCCTGCCGATGCAGGGGACACGGGTTCGAGCCCCGGTCCGGGAAGATCCCACATGCTGTGGAGCGCCTGGGCCCGTAAGCCATGGCCGCTGAGCCTGCGCTCCGCAACGGGAGAGGCCACAACAGTGAGAGGCCCGCGTACCGCAAAAAAAAAAAAAAAAAAAAAATCAAAGAGGAAAACGTTACTTGGAAAGTTGAGGAAGCAATAGCATTTCTTTCTGGCATATTAATTGTTTGGCACAATCACAGGTAAACAGACTTTACGGACATCGTGTGGCTGTTCACATTTAAAGTTTCTCCTCTAAAGTGGTTACTTTCGGGCTAAACAAGTATATCGGTTAAACGAAGTCCGTGAACAGGCTAAGCCGGGCAGGCATGGACACGTGTGATGCATTCTCCGTCCAAAAAATGGAACCTAAAATAAAAAAGAAAACTGAGTCAGAGCAGGAAATGTTAAAAAAACAAAAACTTTGTTGAGAAATCTCTTTGAATAATAATAGCTAGTGTTTACTGAGTATTAACTATTCATCAAACAACAGGCTCAGCATTTTTTTTATGTGTTATCCGTTTCCATCCTTACGACCACTCTGTGAAGATGGCAAATACTTTAATTTACCCATTTTACAGACAAGAGACTGAGGCACAGAGAGATTAGGAGCTTGCCCAAGGTCACATATCCAGAACTTGAAGCTTGGCTGGCAGGGGGAGCTGAGGGACCAAGCTTTTAACCAGCAAGCTACACTGCCTTCTACTTGTTCTCATTTTAATTCTTTTTAGAGCGTCCTGTGACTGCAGCTCCTTGAGAAGAACATAACATTATGGGCACAACCACATGTATACAGTGAGCAAATAAAAATTCACTGATAATGAGAAATATATAAATTCATACATTTGTGCAAATATGTGAGGGAGTTCCCTGGTGGTCTAGTGGTTAGGATTTGGTGCTTTCACTGCTGTGGCCTGGGTTCAATCCCCGCTCAGGGAACTGAGATTCCGCAAGCCGCACAGCGCGGCCCAAAAAAAAAAAAAAAAAAAATCTATAAAAAAAACCCCAGAAACCATTCCTCCCCCCCACCACCAAAAAAAAAGATGTAAGACGAAGTCAAAATTCTGGGTGGGGCAAGGGGATAATAAGAGTAAAATTAGGGAAGGAGGCAAGCTCGGTTTGCAGGAATGCAATAAAGCAAACCTGGGCTTAGGGAGAACCAGCAGTGAAAGGTCAGCTTCATTCCAAGAGCTGTTCAATTGCTATTTCTAAGAGCCCTGCTCATCATGTCTTGGGTGAAGCCGGGTTGAGGAGGGTCAACCAGCAACTGGGGTGGTGGTTCTCTGTGCCGCGGCAACTGGAGGACCCTCAAAACACGTATGCTTTCTAGAGGCAAAGAGCAAAAACCATTCTTCCCCCTGTAGGGGTGGTGCTCTCTTGAGAACCTGCGTGCTTTGCAAGGGATAGGGAGAAAGTTTAACCCCAGGCCTGGAGGCAATGGATATTCAATGAAATGGGATGACAAATTACCCGATCCAGGGTAACATGAGAGAGGCCAGCTCTTACAGACTCATGCCTCTGGGATCCTTCTACAGTTTCCGCAAGGCACGGAAATGCATCCTTCCCGCCTCCCAACTCTTCGGTATCATTCTAGCGTATTTCCTATTCTTTCCACCAAAAGAGGCCGCCCCACACCAGTAATCTGTCCTCAGGAGAAAATTGAGATGCATCTTCCAGATGCCCTCTAAATCATTTCTTTATACATCAAGCAGAAGGCTGTCTGCAGACAGTGGCAGAACCATTCTAACCTTATTGTTAGGTTGCACTGATTGGATGGACCCAATTCTATGGGTGTCCAACAACGGTCAAGGCTGATTACTCTGGGCGTTATCTTTGGGTGCTCCCATGCTCGTGTTCTTCTTACCTCCTTTTTCCTTTTTCTTCTCTTCCTCTTTCTTCTTTCCTGCCTTCCATTTCCAAAATGGTTCTGGAAGGGCCAGGGAGATGGTTGAGATCATAAATACACAGGGAAGAAAGGGAAGCAGTAGGACGGCAGGGGAGGTATGAGGTGGACAGGCAGAGCCATTCCAGTTCCGCTGTCTTTTTGCAAGAGCATTATTTTCAAGGCTCTAACGACAGCGTCTACTCGGGAGCACCTTGGCCATCGGCTCCATGCAGACGCGTGCTAGAATGGTTCTGTCACTGTGTGTGTCGAAAGGCCCACGGATAGCTGGCTCATTTGTTGCCCCCGAGACTACGTCAGAGGAGGTGGAGGCAGCAGGAATGGCCTGGACAATTACAAGTGGATGGTATGAGATGCTGTAACTCATGACCTTTATGATCCTTTCGTGACCCTGAGATCTGAGAGATTCCTTTCACCAAGCCCCAAACGACTACACGAACCAATGGTTCTCAATTTGGGGTGATTCTGCCCCCAGCCCCCCAGGGGACATCTGGTAACGTCCAGAGACATTTTTGTGCGTCACAAATGAGGAGAGGGGGCAGCACTACCGGCCCCCAGTGGCTACAGGCCAAGGATGTTGCTAAACATCCCACAACTCAGGGGACAGTATCCGCAGCAAAGAATTATCTGGTATAAAAAAATGTCCAAAAAATGTCAACGGTGCTGAGGTTGAGAAAAATGAACACAGACAGCGATATCCAAGGAGCCTGGAACAAGTGAGCTCTAACTGTAATAAGGGTGTCAAACTGTACCCATGGAGAACGCCAAGCACGTGTCTTTCATTCATTCATTCAACAGGCATTTACTGAGTGTCACCAACATATCAGACCCTACTTTAGGTGCTGCAGATACAGTGAAGAACCAAACAGGAAAGGCCTCTGCCCTTCATGGAACTTAAATTTTAATGACAGATACCCAGTAAGATAGTTTCAGGTACTCAGAAGAAGTGTCCTCTTGGTTTCAGTGTGGTGCTCTGTGCATCTCGACACCTTGGCCACTCTTTGGCTTGTCACGTAGGTCGTCCTCAGCAAAAGTAGCAGAAAAAAGAAATTAACGCTGGCGGCCTGCCACGGGCCGGGCCACATCAAGGCATCATGTATGAATGTCACACCAAAGCGGGAGCCAGATTTCTGCCTCGCTTTGACACAAGCCAAGTGGCCTCCTCTTGAGGTGAATTAACGCACCAGACTGAGGTCACCCAGCTAGAAAAGGAACGTGTCACAGTCAAACCCAGCTCCATCTTCTTCCAAATACCACCAGGCCCAGATTCCAGGCTCTGGGAAGAAAGGGACTCTTGTCTCTGAGGACACAGCACTCTGCTTGGCACACAGGCATTTAACAAATATTTTCTCGAGTGTGTCCTATCTCCTGTGCCCACCACAAGCTGTGACCTCCCTGAAGGTAAAGGGGTGACCTTCTCAGGTCCTGGAGCTCCCCCTTCACCCCGAGACCCCCTGCCTGGCACTGACCAATGCCACCAAACTCGGAAGCCAAAGGCTCTCTCTCCAGGGTCTAGGAGGGGCCCTGGCAACGTGCTCACTAGGTCGTGTGCTTTTGTGAAACCTTCAAAAATATCTTTGTGTTATTCTTTTTCTTACTGAGAGCACCAAGATTGTGGAAGCGTCAACCTAGATCTGCTCCAACTGAACTTAACATAATGATTCGATTGTCCTGCAGGTCCCTTTATACCTGAATGCTCTTTTCTTATTTTTATGCTTTTTCAAGATCCAGTCTGTGTTTCTCCCTCCTTCCTCTGAGCCCTTCTTCACTGGACCAGCCTGTAGCAGTTTTCTCCTCCATCTATGAGCTCTTAACCACACAGACCACGACTTCTGACACGATACACCCCATAGATAACTTGCCCGTTTCTTGACTGGTCCATTCACTGCTACTTCTACATTCACTGTATGACAAACCTAATAGGTGTCTGACAGTCACACATGCATGAGAAAGTGTTCATCATGCATCTGAAGATGCATCTTCAGATGTACAAACAGAGCCAAGGAGCTCGTCACTCAGTACCAACTTGATGGTTTACTTTAGAATCAACTATACACTCAAGCCAATGTTTCTAATAGTCTAGGTTTCCAACCAGCAAATTCTAGAAGTTACCGAGGCAGAACCTTCAGCACTCTTGAGAAGTCATGATTCCCAATACATTCGCAGCACTTTTAAAGAGAAAGCAGTCCTGATATGAAACAGAAGTATTATTCGTGCTGTCTCTCAAGACAGTCAATTGTGTAAAAGAAGGAAACATAATGGGACACGTGCAGAAAAGCCTAGTCACGTGACATAAAGAGTACTGGCCCTATTATAATTTTAATCTTAATAAAACCAGGCTTGTTACAACTTTTTCAATAGAAGTACACAGCTCAAAAAAATTCAAATGGTATAACAGTGCATAAAATAAAAATGACAAGTCCCACAGCTTCCGGTTTTAATAGCTATGCAGAGTGCCACCGTATCTTAATTTGGTAAAGTTCTAAATTGTTTCTTCTAATTTTTTTGGAGTAGGTATATACTTACATAACCCTAAATCATGCAGTACTTTATCTGCTCCCATCCTGTGAGTAGAGGGTTAACCTGGGGCCTGGGTTGATGGAGGCCGACCTGACATGGACCTGGGCCTCCCACTGCAGTGTGTCCCCAGAGAAAGTAAAGAAAAGCAGGGGATGGTGGGTCAGCCTCACTGGTTGGGTGAAACTGCACTTGAGTTGGGGGAGCCTTGAGCCTCTGGAACTAGGGCAATCATAAAAGATTTGCAAGAAATGAGTGGTAGTTTCTATGAGTCAAGAGGACACCCCCGACACACACACACCCTGGCAATCACGTATGGCAGCCACAGCACCTGTGTGGACGAGCGAGCAAAAGGAGCTGTGTGCTCAGGGAGCTGATGAGTTCCCAAGGAGGCGAAGATGCTGTACTTCCTACGTTGTGTCCCGTAAGGCTAAGTAAATGAAGGATTAGACAGGTGTGCTCAACCGGGGTGATTCCAGCCGCCTCCAACACCCCCGTCCTCCCTGCCCAGGGAACACGTGGCAATGTCTGGAAGCACTTTTGGTGGGCACAACTGGGACGGGGTGCTACTGTCATCTAGGGGGGTAGAGGCCAGAGCTGCTGCTAATAAACATCCTACAATGCACAGGGCGGCTCCTACAACAAAGAGTCATCCAGTCTAAAATGTCAAAAGAGCCCAGGTTGAGAAACCCCATATTAACCTAAAGCATATTCATGTCCTGTGAGTCTCTCTGCCAATCTGAACCTGTAATCACGGGCATGAAGCTGTCCTGAGAGAGCAAATGCAGACAGTGGCTCTTGACATCTGTGACAGCAAATGAGCATACTTTGTTTCTTCCACCCATCTTTCGCTAAAGTTTGCACTTATATTAGTTATATTTTAGTCAGTATTAAAAAAAAATTTATACTCTATTCGGAAATTATAATGTTTCACCATAAGTTGGTTCTGAAATAGAAACAGCTAATAACTTTTTAATTCTTCCTTTTTTTTTTTTTTTTTTAACATGAACAAGACCCAGGTTTTAATCAGAAATTTTTTGCTTCAGGAAAGGAAAATGTATTAGTCAAGGTTTAAAGTGCAGCTCAAAAATAAAAATAGAAAACCAAAACGAGGGCTAAAAATGTTAACATAAAAAATGGAATGAAATTTAAAAACAAGATTAATTGTTTGAAGGAAACATAGTTGTTAAACTTTTTTGATAAAATAATAAGCAATAAGAATAAAAGTACTAGTCACATAATTCTAAACTTCCAAAGCCAATGGGTAATCAGAATGGGATGGACATGGCTAATCTTTAAAAACTCTAAAAGTGTGGGTATTAATAGAAACGAATGTTTCTTAAACAGCAAAGTATTCCCAGTAGACATACGATTTAGTAATGCATTCTTAATTGTTAAAAAACTAATTGTTAAAAATCAATACATGTTAAAACTATTAGTTGCCTAAAAATGTGTTTAGAAAACAGGCATCCTATTCTTTTTAAGTAGACATATTTTATTCTATTTTTGAATTATCAAATGTGAAGTTAAAAACTTTACAATTACAAAACCGTAGCCTAGCAGTGACTGTAGACTCTACAAGTTAATTGATACATCTGAGAAACAAAACAGTAAAATAAACTCAGGGGCCACCAGTTTCTACTTAAAGGTCTCAGTTTCATTCATCAAATACTGCTCACTTTATCAAAATAAACAAACATCTGTGGCTAATGTCAAGACCAAACCAGAATGGAAAGTTTAAAATTTGAGTAGGTGTAGTCCTCACCTATCCACAGCCCGTGTTTTTAAAGCACCAATACCTGGGACCACAGACAGAGTTAATCCACTTTATTTTTTAACCAAAGAAAAAGAAAACAGGGAGGTAAAAGTAATAAACACATCGCATTAAAAAGAATTTTCTGTCTACGTTTTTACCATCTACTAATGAGCTCTAAAACTTCAGAGTGGAGTTTCACCAGGATATGTTTATTAAAAAATGTTTGTTCTTGAGTTGTTTTGAATAGAATATAATTGAAAGATACCCTGGAAGAACTAGATTTTCACCGGGATAAATTTCGCCCAAGACAAGTAACAACTCTGGGACTAGAACTCGGTCATTGAAATGACCTATGAAAATGTGTTTTCAAGACAGAAAAATAACCAATATGAAAAGCTGTAACATCGAGGTCTAGAAACACATTTCAAGTGGGCATCTGACAAGGGGGTAAGTTCAGATCTGACATTAAAATCTTATTTTTTCAGTACTTCAGTTCTTTTATCACTTAATTCTATTAGGAAAACCCTACTCGGTTATTATAGACTTCGTTATTAAGTGTGATAAAAACACAGCACAGAGATGTCCCTGGGTTTACGGCAGGAGAATGACTTTGTTTCCTTTCAGAACTGACCTTGCACTAAACCTCAACTAGAAACTAGACGAACCCGGGGAGGCAGAATCTGGTTCTCTTGTCAAAATATCTCAGGTTTGGAAAACTCATCGGAACTACAGGATGAGACAGGGGCCAACTCTGGACCACTGTCCCTCATCTCAGTGAGCATCTTCCCCACACAAACCAGTTCGGGTTAACTGCACTGAACAACATGTTCAAATTAAACACGACGACAGCTTTCATGGAAGTAGAAGAATATAGTGGTTAAGACCACACAGACAATGGAGCATCAGACAGAAGTGAAATCCACAGCCTGCCTTCTGACCTGTCACCTTGGGACCTCAGCCACTCACTGAGCCCCTCTGCGGCCGAACGTTGTTGCACGGAAACTAGGACAAAAGTAAATCTTTCTTCGCAGGCTTCCTGTGAATATTACCGTGAGAAACACATCCACAACACTTAGTATCCAGTGTCTGGTACACCACTGCATCCAACGAGCAGCAACTAGTACTGTGATTCGTACACAAATAGTCCCCCAGAATGTGTCACTCTTCACTCGCTTTAGCAAACTGGCCCCAAGATTCCTGTACCTGGGGCACACGTGAGGTTATACTAACACTGTACGAAGACAACGTAAGTCTTAAAGGAGGGTGAGTTAAGAGTCAACTTTTCAGCAACAGCGACTCCAATGGACAAAAGATGACTCTCGTTGGATAAGGCAGATGATAAAAACTGAGATCAAGGTCAAAGGCGGCTGGGGCTTCACCATCCCTCCCCACCTGGGGTGTGGAGGGGTGGAGTCTGGCACAGAGCCAAACAACTAATGGTTTAAAACATTTCCTGTCTCAAAATGGCCAAGAATAAAAGGTGCATATCATGCTTACAAACGACAAGACCGGCTCACAGGGAGGAAAGGTCTAAACACAACAGGAAGTATTTCTCAAGGAAACCACAGGAGAGCCCAATGCCGTCTTCAGATGGGTCCAATCAACCAGGGGCCCCACTACAGCGCACAGAGCGAAACCCAAGCCAATATACATCCTTCCTTATTTCATTCCAAGAGAGTCAAAATATTAGCTGTTATCTGTAACTCTGGAGGACGGGAAAGATGTTTGGCACTACTACAGTTTTAAACCCTAAGCCGCATGTGGGAAAAAAAAAAAAAAAAAAAAAAGAAGCAGAAGGTGGAATCTAGCTTGCTTTGAAAACATTCAACCTATTTTAAGACGAGAGGATACCACGTGTAGAGAGAACACTGTAGGCGACTGAACTCGCCGCCAACGAGCCACCAGGCCTGGGACTTGTCCTTCAGCACACACCCCTGCCCCTGCACCCCACGTAACTGTTGGGTAAATGAAGACGTACCACTAGAAGAGCAAGGCACCTGCAACCTGGCATCCCTGGGGTATCTGACTGTACTCATACTGTATTTCAAACGTTTTGAATCTGAAGGGCAATGATTCTCCAGGCTCCACAACCTTCTCTGCTCTCTCCTGCCTGCCACCCACCCCCTTCCAGATGTCTCGTACAGCTGCCCGACCCCTGCAGTCAAGAGAGCCTGCAACCCCTGGGGACACAACCTCTAAAGCCCTGTCCAGTCCTGCCATTGGTCCTGCCACTTCTTGGCAATCACTTTTCAAAAGTGGTGTTCAGGGCATTGTGATATTGAGCTGTTAGATAATAAACTGGCACGTTAAATATCATGAACCTCCACGGTTGTGAACAAGGCATCCTGTGGAGAGAGTCAAAATAGAGGACTTTCAAGTGAAGATACAAGAGTGACTGCATCATGGATGATTTTCTGCAAAAACCAAAACACAAACTTATTTACTTCTGCCTTTTCGGCAGGTCTGATGTTAAACATCTTTTCAAGAGCGTGCATACTCTGATTTCTGCAAAGAAGCATAAACTATATATATATCTATATATCTATATATATAGATATATATCTATATCTCCTAAAGTTTTTTAAGCGAATTTAAGTGCTTGAAATTATTTTCATGAAATGCTTCTAATGCCACGAGAAGCATGATATGTAAATGATTAATAGAATAAGGATGGTAAAGGATACAATTCTCTCAAATGGAAAGGGAAAGGAGTGAGGAAGTGGTTTTCCACTTCAGCTTCTGATTCCCAACTTCTAGCACGTTACCCTGGGTTTCATGTCACACAGGCCTTGCTCAGAGTTGAGTTACTGCAATGTAAGAGAAGCACCAAGAACACAAATATATATACTAACTTTACGAGTCAGCGGATGGCAGCTGTCTCCCACTTTGCCCATCGGTGTGCAAATCCGTATGCTCTTAACCCAGATACTAACAGCACAGCACATGCCTCCACCACACTGGGGGTCCTTGTCGCAGGCCTGAAATGCAATAAGCAAACACATAAATACAGATAACAGGAATGACTCAGGCTAAGGGGATCTAAAATTAGCAGCAAAAAAAAAAATGCCCTTTTAATATCCAACCGCTATGATTTTAAGAATCTTACATATAAAAAAAGAAGTGTTATCTTCATCTGCTTGACCATATTTACAACAAAATCTGACCAGAAGTGATTTTCCCACTTGGGTTAAAAAAAAAAAAAAAAATCACCTAAATAATGGCCCACACATTATGAAAATCTTAAACCACAAGATTTTTAAAAAACAAAATGAGCTCTTTTTTTCTTGCGCTTTATGGATGAACCGGCTCTGAATTTGAAGAACGTGTCTATATTAGTCTTTTACCATACATGGCCATTAGGAACTCCATAAATCGAATCGCAAGATTTTATAACTATTAACTGCAGAATACATTGGGCCCAATTTTAAAAAGGGATTTAAATGGTCTCTAAATCTGGCATGAAATACTCCAGACCCATAAAGGCACTGATGTCGATTTTTGAAATACTACTCATTTTCTCTTTCAAATATTTGCATTTTGGTGCACGAGATTTGATGTTTCTCACACCACTGACTTGATTTTCACCACTTCCTTTTGAAAGAAAGAAATCTCACAGGTTGAGAATGGACAGACCAAGACTTTTTGCCTTATATTACTCTTTTCTGGGTGAGTAACCTGCAAAAAGGAAATTATTGGCTTCGGATATACATATGTGTACATTACAAAATTACCTGAACTATCCTATAAGAGCCATCAGATTTAGAAATGCAAGCGACAGATGCAATTATCAACAGTGATTACTCAAGACTGTTGTTCCTGATATAAAAACTTGTAAATACATATAATCAAAGAATTAACTATGGAAGAATTTCCATACTTGACTAAGTAGAAGTAAATAATGAAGTCTAAACTTATTTGCATGAAAATAGATCTGAAGAACTATTCTTCTCTCCTAAACCAACCATAAATAGGATGCTTTGTCTGAATGGTGTGCAGTAATGTTCTGCTAGTGATAAGGTAAAAGCAACCTGTACTATATACGTAAGAAGCTAAAAAGTGTATAATTTAGACACAAATTTTAAATGTAGATTTCATGGAAACAACTAAAACACTTCTTCAGAGTTCTTGGTTTTGGGGACAGCTATAACTTCTCAAAATGGAAATATATGGGCACACTCTTATTCACTATTTTTTCGTTAAGAGTGATCAGCTATCTTGCTCTAGAGTTGGTTTTCTTTCCTCCATAAGAATTTTTTCTCGAGCTATTTAAAACAAATATCTGGATTTAAACTACAATTTTCATCTTGGGGTATTTGAACATTTATAGGAAAATATATAAACGTTCCCACTTTTCCAATTTTTATTTGAATGCCAGAAATCACACATATGTAGCCATTGTACATTCCATAAATGAGACGTTCAATACTCGATCTTTTCCAATACCGCCTTAACAAATTTGCGTGGCCATATAAATCAGTCTAAAAATAACTACATATACTACCCCCCCCCAAAAGTAAATATTTAAGGTGGAGGTTTCAGGCAATATTTTACTTCAACAGATGCTCAAGAGCAGGAATTCTGAAGCCCCACTAGCTCCTTTAATAAGACAATCAAAATTCAGCCAAAATCTCTTAAAATTCAACCGATCACTTGAATGTTTAACAGCCTAGAGATGACATATCTAGATAAGTTATTGAGTTTTTTATTTGACTCCAGATGGTTCCTGTCATGGAAACATAACTACATTTCTTTATTGCCGTGTTGTTTTAGAGAAATTTTTTAAATTCTTTTTTTTTTTGGTAGCACTGATTTAAAACAACAAGAAAAACAGCACACATAATTATATAATAAGCCCAGTCTAAACCTTAACAGATAAACATTCAATGTGATAAAATTTCATTTTGTAACACAAAAAGCTTCAGTTCTCAGACATACAAAGAATTGCATAGGTTTATATATTTTTAATTAGACAGCTGTTTTCCTAATGCCCTTCATATTTAACCCACTGCTGATCTGTTCAAATAGTGTTGTCTTGTGAATGGAACAAAAAGATACTTATATCACAAAGGAATCTGGGACTCAGAGGATTAGGAGAAATTTAAAATGAGCCAGCAGGGGAAGAGGGGGGAAAAAAACTCATCAGGTTTCAATTCTCATGTATTCGAAAGACCTGTAAAAACTCTTTTTCAACCACAGGGACTGACAAAGCTATTCAAATACATTTGTAAAAATCTCTACAAACTATTCTAATAAATATCACAATGCTTATAATTAAGCATCTCTTGGCTGTCACCCAAATATCTATTGGCTGTAACCACATACTGTTCTAGTATGAGGACTTTCAATGTGCTATAAGCCTATTAACCAACATGGAGACAATAGAGCTTAATTTTCTCAAGACGATGACATTTCCCTTAAATTTAAATGTTATTTCATTATCTACGTATCATCATTTCAAACACAGAAGTTTTATTTAAACCCTATTGTGTGCACTTAGCTATCTGAAATAATTTAATGGAGGTGTAAAATAAGTTAAGACTTAGAAGAGTAAAGCATTTAATAATCAGGAAATCGTAGCGATTTTGCATTGTTGACGTAGACTAGACATTTTTATCTTGTGCTGTAAACTCATCCTTCGGATCCACACAAAGAAAACTGTTGGTGGACGCAGAAGAGACCTGAACTAGTTCCTGCTTGTACAAATGATGAAGACATCTCTCTAAACTGCAACATCTACATGGCAACCTACTCCAGAATTAAGCCAGAGCGCTGGAGGTGCTTTACCAATAACTGGAAGTGGAAAACTTCTACAGGGAGAACCTCGGGACGCTGGAAAAACAAAAACAAACAAACCAAAAAACCTGGAACCCAGAAGGCAGCGTCCACATTGCTTTTCAAAGTGCACGTATGTCCTCAGACCAAGTTATTTCCAAGGGTTTTTGCGGAGGATGCCTCGGGGAGCAAACTCCTTGACTACAGAATTCAGGCTCCCGGGATTTGGGGGTACTGGTCTTGCCCCTCTGCATTTCAGGACACTAAAATTTTAAGGATAGAGGCTGGAACGTCTGGGGAAAGTGCTTGAGAAAACCGCGAAAGGAAACTTCTTTCAGCTTAAGAGAAAAACAGACCAAACACGAGGAGAGAGGGGGAAGCAAGCGGGAGAAGGTGGTGATGAAGGTGATGAGGTGAGACTGTGGTCACTTTTTCTTACAGGGAGCGCCCGATGTCCCGGCCGTCCGCGGCTTTGGGAGCAGGGCACTTTTCCAAGTGCGCCAAAGGGCGACTGGAGCAGGAGTCCCCACCCGGGATGACCCTCCCGGTGGCCCCCGCCTCCCCGTTGCGGTCGCCACCCCGCCCCCCACCCGGCGCCTCTAGGGCGCGCGCGACCCGGGCGGACAGGTGCACCGGGGGCCGCTTACCCCGGTGATGACGGCGGCGTCCCCCGCGGGGGGTTTGAGCAGCAGCGGCGGCAGCAGCAGCAGGAGCAGCAGCGGGGCGCAGCGCGGGCTACTCATGGCGCCCTCGGGCCTGGGCGGCGGTTGGGGGGCCGTTGGGGGCGCGCGGGTTGGATCGCGGAGCGGCTGGCTGGCGGGCCGGCGTCTCACGCGAGCCTGCCGGCGGCTATAAAGACAAGCTCCGCAGTGACTCACACCGCCACCCGGGCAGCCGCACGCGCGGGGGCCACGGCGCGGGCACACCTCCCGCGCCCACCCGGCCCGGCCCGGCCCGGCCCGCGTCCTCACCGCGCACGTGCTGCCGCGGGCCCCCGCGCCCCCGCCCCGGGCGCCACGCAGGCAGCGCCCGCCGCAGCCTTCTGCACGCGCCCGCATGGCTTTTGTGGTCGGGGACACCCTCCTCTGCTGTCCTGGTTTCCCCAGTCCCACGTGCTCAGCGCCGCAAACTTGCAGCTCATTTGCTCTCCAGATGTTTAAGGAGCGCCTACTACGTGCTAGGCGCTGTGGACACAGGGGGGGGGAGCAAGGGAGGTGATAAGAACCGCTCAATTCGTTCATTTTTGTATGTCACCTACTGACCCTGGGTCCGTCCTTAGGGTCCAATAATCGAACAGAAAAAGACATCAAACAAACGCCCTGGGAACTTGGAAGACGGGGGTGGGGGGGGGAGAACAAAGGGAGGGCAAAATTATCCCACATCCCTGACGACACTGAGGGGGTCTGTGCTTCCAGCTGTGGGAGTCCAATTTCTTTCTTTCATTTCAAATGCTGTTCCTTTCTGCTCACATCTGTTCCCGACCCTCTGCTCTCTGATTTTCCTCGCATGCATTTTCTCTCTTTAACATCGCGCCAGCTTCAGGCAGAGCAATTCAGAATGATGCCAAAGCGGAATGAGATCGCCAGGCTTCGGATGCCAGCCTGAGGCCCCTTAAGCTCTGGGTAGGCAGCTCTCTCTTTTACTTCCTAGCCCAAGATAATCACCCTTCAGTCTTTGTAAGATGCGATACGGCGGTACTGGGATTCGTTCATTTGTGTCAACATGACTTGAGTGCCTACTGGGTTCTGGGCCACCTACGAGAGGACCAGTGACAGATTTGCCTTCCACCTGTGACCTCGAGCCTAGCTCCAAGAATCTCAGACTGTTCTTCCTCAACGAAATTGATTTCAAGAAATCCTAGGTGTGACCATACCAAACTTGCTGCCACCGAAGTTTTGGGAAGCCCAACTTTCTTCCTGAAACCTCAGCTTTCCCTGGTCTCAAAAGGACCACAAACTGTTGAAAAGCAGATGCGTCTTCCAGCCTCTGTAATAAATGCAGTGAGGAGAGTGGGGACAAAGTTACTTTCAGACTGTGGGGCTCCCCCATGGCAAAGCATTCAGACTAAACGTGGAAAAACAAAACAAAAAAAAACCAGGCAATTATCCTAATGAAAACAGCTGAGTATTTGGAAAACTAGATCTTTGACTGATTTTAGAAAGCTTTTTCATGCGTGTTTTTATGCTTGAGAAACATCTTGAAAGAGAAAGCAAAAAAGCATCAAACTTTTTTTTTATGTTTTAAAAAATTGTTAAAATTGGATCCACGGTAAAATAAGTGGGAACAGTAGCAAGTGACAGATTGGTGGAAAGTTTCCTTTTCCAGTCTCCATGCCAACGCTAGCATTGGAATGCTGCTGGGTAAACGTAAAAACCAGTCAACAAGGATTTTAACATTCCTACAACTTTTTTTTAATGGTCTATTTCATATTTGTTACTACTGAACGCCAGCTTGGGTATTCCCTGCTTCTCCAAGCATAGAAAACCAGATACGTATTCATAGGAAAATCAGTTTTCAAAAGTAGATGTCTTCATACACTGCTGTTTGGAAAACAATCCTCATAAGGCTGTTTTGAAACAAGGTTGGAAACACTTAACAATAGGGTTGGTTTGGTTTCATATTGATTCTTTTGATCCTGCTGTTTCTTTTAATTGTTTTAATGCTTTAGAGGAGAAATGAAGGCCTCTGATAGGACAGATCTTTGCATCCATGGCCAAGTTAGAAAATCGAAGTCTGAAAGGTAGTTCCATCTTAGAAAGATGAAAGGCTGAGTTTAATTAGTTCATAAATATCAGCTAGGAAGGCCATTACCGAACTAGAAATTGATGAGTAGTTTAACTATTCTGTTCTCTTCCTTACTGTTAATTGTACCACATGTCAATGCAGCTGTGGGATAACTATAGAAGGAGAAGCCAACTGTGTGTAGTTCGGAGTGTAGCCTCCCGTGTTCTAGCAGACCATCAAGGCTCAGCTGAATTGAAGGGGCAGTACAGGAAAGTCCACAGATGCCAGGTTTGTGAATCAGACTGACCTGGACTGGAATTCTCAGTGACGAGTGGACAAATTGCTTAACTCTTTTAAAGCCTCTGTTTTCTTAGTTATAAAATGGATAAAAAAATACCAACCTCAAGGTATACAACCTCCATGGGGTTTAAAGATGATAATACCTTAAAGTGCTTAGCACAGTCCTTAAAACATACCGGGAGCCCTGTTCAGCACTGCCTCTTACTAAGTCTCTTCCTTGGGTGTCCTCTGATAATGTCAGCCAACACTGATAGTCTTTTCTATCTCGCCCCAGACTAGATGATACACTCGCTGGGCTAAGGATCCTTGCGTCTAATTTAGCACACACTCCTCTTGGCACACAGGCATTTGGCAGGCCCTCGGGAACTGGTGACCACTGAGAGTATATCCTATGGACGACAGTCTGGAGACGGGTTACAAGAAAGAGATATACAGTGTGGACACATTTAATTTACATGAGTCAATTAAATTTACTCATCAAAAAGCTAGAAGGATACATGCTTTACCTGGGGCAGTTGATTCAGCCTGCCACTCTACTCGGGGGACATGTGACTGAAATGAGGCAAACTAGGAGATACAAACCTCTGGTTACAGTCACTCTGGGACTCAGGCTGACCAAGCCTCCATCTCAAGATGTGCTTCATGATTGCCAGCGTAGGGTGGTGTCATGGGTTAAATTATGTCCCCACCGAAAGCTGCTTTCAAGTTCTTACTCCACGGTACCTGTAAATATGACCCTATTTGGAAGTAGGGTCTTTGCAGATGTAATCAATTTAAGACGAGGTCCTACCGAATTAGGGTGGGCCTAAATCCAATGACTGGTGTCTTTATAAGAGAAACAAGAGGGATACTTGGACACAAAGACACACAAACAGAAGGCCAAGTGAAGATGGAGGCAGAGACTGGAGCGATGCATCTACAAGGCAAGGAGCCCCAGGGATTGCCAACAGCCACCAGAACGTGGAAGAGGCAAGGAAAGCTTCTTCCCTAGAGCCTTCTGAAGAAGCAGAAGAAGCACGGCCTTGTCGACACCTTGATTTTGGACTTTTAGCCTCCCAAACCGTGAGAGATTAAGTTTTTGTTGTTTTAAGCCCCCCAGTGGTGGTAAGTTCTCATGGCAGCCACAGGAAACTAATCCAGGTGCATGGAGCTGGAGGGTTGCACACCAGCTCTCAAATGCCTCTGCCTGGAATTGACACCTATCACTTCTGCTCACGTTTTAATGGACAAGGAGAAGTCCAAGGACTTAGTCTGTCTTCAAGGTGACAGACAATGCAAGTCTGTAATACACTCTGGTTTCTGAGGAGAACCAGAAGTCTGGTGGGCAGCACCATATTTTACAGGAAAGGAATCCTTCATGGCTTGGACTCCTTAATGAGCACGTAATAGGGAAGAACCTTCGAATTCTATGACAAGTTAATCACTAAAGGGATGTTGCCTATAAGCTTCAATTATCCATGACGGCCCATATCTGGGAACCCTGCCTTCCAGGTAATGAGCAGTAAGCTGAAATACCTTTGTTTAGCTCTCAGGGAACATCCTGACCAGGCCCACCCACGAAGAAATTAACAGTTAACACATCCCCTCCCAGAGGCTGACCGGGACCAGGAAATGTTTGACTTTACTCCCTCCCCTTTTAGTATAAAAGAAGCCTGAATTCTAACTCAGGCAAGAGGGTTCTTCGGGATACAAGTCCACCATGTTCCCGGTGTGCTGGCTTTCTGAATAAAGTCACTATTCCTTGCCCTAACAACGCATCTCTTGACTTACTGACCTGTTGTGCGGCGAGCAGTACAACTTTGGACTTGGTAATAAGCATAATGAGCTTTGAAGGATACTAGTAATTATTATAAATGATAATGTATTATTTCCTTTGTGTTTTTTCCAGTTCAGTATTCCCTATACTAGAATTATACAAAGACTCTGAAAAAAAGTAAACGTAAAAACTATTTTCTTTTAGGCGGGTGGTAAACTGAAATTCATTTATTCAACAGACATCTACTGAGTACTTACGATACGCAGATATTGTGTAAGGCACTGGAGGTACAGTGGTGAGCAAAGCATGTGAATCCAGTGCCCTGGGATTTTATAGTCTAGTGGGAAGAAGGACATGAATCAAATAATCATACAATTATGTAATTACAGGAAACATGTAGAGCACTAGGAGAGAGCATATGGGGAGACCTGGAGGTTTCCTTAAGCTAATGGTGTCAAAGCTGAGATCTGAAGCTTGAACAGGATTTAACTGAGATAAACGCGGGCAGCGGGAATGCGCGGTGGCTGGCATCATTCCAGGCTGGGGAATTGCTTACTGGAGACTGGAAAGAGCATCCGAGTTCAAGGAGCTGAAGAGAGGCCAGTGTTGCCCAAAGAACGAGTCTAAAGGGAAGTCTGGTACAAATGTGAAGCCAGAGCAGTGGTAGAGACCCAATACACAGCCTTTTGTAGGCCACGCTGAGGATCTTAGTCTGAATATGGCTGGGGAAGAGAGAAAACCTAAGGATGGACCAGGCATGACGCAAGTAGCTTTTGGAAAGGAGACTCTTTTCCAGTACCAAACTCCTCGTGCCCCTACCCCGAAGCTCTTTGGGTGAAGGCAACTCCAACCTTCTGAGGATGACCTTGGGGCCACCGTTGACCTTCTCTTTCTCCCACAACCCCTGTCCAATCCATCTGGAATCCGACCACTTTTCCTTTTGTCAGGGCCACCCTTCTTCCTTTTTTCTTTTTGGCGGTACGCGGGCCTCTCACTGTTGTGGCCTCTCCTGACACGCAGGCTCAGCGGCCATGGCTCACAGGCCCAGCCGCTCCGCGACATGTGGGATCTTCCCGGACCGGGGCACGAACCTGTGTCCCCTGCATCGGCAGGCGGACTCTCAACCACTGCGCCACCAGGGAAGCCCAGGGCCACCCTTCTTGTTTGGAGCCATCATCATCTCCAGCCTGGATGACTAGCATCGCCTCCTTACTGGCCCCCTGGCCTCACCCTTTCACCCTTGCCCTCTACACCCTATCATCCCTCCAGCTGCCTCAGCTCTTCCACTCCAGCCATACCAGCCTCCTGGAGGCTCCAAAACACACAGGCAGGCCCCCACACTGCGAACTTTGCTCTGAAACCTCTCTTTGTCAGGACTGCTCTTCCCCACAACGATAGGAACATGACTGAACCCCTCCCTCTGTCCCCCCTGACCTCAGAGGCTTCTCCCAACCACCCTGATAAACGTGCAACTGCCCCAGCTCTCCAGATGCCCCCCACTCTACTCCTTTTCACATTTTGCTTTCTCCTCTAGCACTTAGCGCCTTCTGGTGCTGTTATTTACTTAGATATT